AAAAAAAAAACCTACATAAAATCCATTTTGTTTTTCATTTTTTTAAAAAATAGAAAATACAAAATGGATGCTGTCATTATAACAGACAATAGCTCAATACCTATTATTTAAAGAGTGGTACCCAAATATTTACAGTGGGTGGGCTTTGTCTTAAACCATTAACTTTATTTAAGAGCCATGACAATGAAATGTTTTTCTAATAAAAACACACAGTTATTAAAGCAGCCATGTCTGAAGTATAAACTTAGTGTGCCAATCTTTGCAACTGCATTTTCAGACACAAACTATTAAGAAAAATTGGCTATCCCTTTTATTGCTGTTTCAAATTCTTAGAGAAGTCAGCTACTTCCTTTAGCTAATAGTACCTGCTAACGGTCCTACAGCAAGATTGAAAACAACATTTTTGCAAAATGCAATTGATATCCTTCTGCAAAACAGCTAAATACCACTTAACAGACATTCTGCATTTCTCAAAATTATTCACATTTTACCTACTTGCCAAAAATGAATCTATTTATCTATGCCAAAATCTCCGTTATATCTATTCTCTTCTCCTGTAAGAGATTTCTGATTTTTCTCTGTAGTTATTTTTCAAACGGCTGTAGTGTAATTCAGGATTTTCTTAAAGGTGTCTTTGAACTTCTCTGAGTGTAGCAAGGCCACCTTTTCTGGTCTGCATTTCTTTTTCATCTGATAGCCTCCTTAGTTGTCCCTTTATACCCAACAGAAATATTCACTAATGTCTTATGGGGCATATTTGAAATGAGAGCCCAGGAAAGCTGCTGTTTATGATGGTCATATAATAATAATTAAGATTTGTGTCATGCATATCCATAAATGCAGAAAATCTGAATTCCACCCATAGTTTTTAATGTTCTGAAATATTCTGGAGAAAGTATCATTGCTGAAATCTGTACTTCATGGATGAACTAGACATTCTGGAAGGCTCAGGAATGGCTTTGCAGCAGAGATGGTAAATTTTGCTCAGCAAAGTCTCTCTGGAAAAAGGAGACATTGTGAGATCAACCACTTACACATAGACAGGTACCCCTCATGAGTAGACTGGAGAAACTGTGGTTTTGGCAGTTGGCTTGGACTTGAGTCAAGGGATTTCAACCAAATTCATAACCATATTTCCTTGGAGTTAGCTTTAAGTGTGTCTGCCATTACAGACTGTTCAAAAGATGCTATGGAAGAAGAACAATTAAGGTTACAAGAATGATATGGAAAAATGCTACAACTGGACATGCAAATGAAAGAGATATTTGTTTTGTCGTTTTCAATTTTGCTAGTCACTCTCTCTCTCTCTCTCTCTCTCTCTCACACACACACACACACACACAAATATGATTTGAATATCTTTGAATTTACAAAAGAAATGTGTTAAAATTTTAAAGAGAAGGAATAAAAAAGTGAAAAGAAATAAAAATTTAGGACATTATTTGAAGGGATTAAAGATCAAGATTATTAAAATTAAAGGAATATAACAGGAATATAAAATTGTTTTATTGATCAAGATTAAAATATATATTGTTATCATAGATCAACCTTAATGGACTTTTGCTGATCAAGACTGAATGGTGAGGATTTATTTTGTTTATAGATAAGAGATGAGATACACAGTAAGAAGATTCATCTGCAGTATTTTAAGAGGTGATTCTATACTAAAATTGCTTATACTTGTAGTGAAGGGAGAAATAATTTCTTTGTACATGTCTTTTCTTTACTATATTCTTTTTTTCTTCTGATTTTTAATTTTTGGCCCTTAAATCTTTCATTCTTTTATTTTTTATTTTTTACATTATATTTGTTTTTATATTTTTAATTGTAGTGTTTAATAAAATTATTATGAAAGGATTCCAACTCTTTTCTCCCCAAAATGTGGAAGAAAAAGGATGAGATTTGTCACTATCAATTTCCTATATATAGCATGTTTTGCTGCATTTCTAATGTGGTGGTGCATAAATGCTACAAATAAAAAAAAAGCTGAAATCTAAATCCCTAAGGATGTTTATATATTAAAAAACAAATGAATCATGAAAAGATGAGAAACTACATAAGACACCATGGAATACAAGTGGTGGAGTTTGCATAATGATTTGCAAAACAGTGATTGATAGTAGGAAAGGCTTGTTTACATGATTTACATTAGGACACACAACACATTGTCAAGTTTTGCTTCAAGGAAAAGATGTATTTGTTTATGAGACAAGTAAAAAAAAGTTCAAAATCAACACTTACCCCTTCTGCTGAAAATAGTGAGCTGAATGCATACCAAACAAATAACCAAAAAACAATGTTCCATGTCAAAAGGAGACAAATCCAAAGCTGAGAATTTGCAAAATGTTTTGCAAACACATTGTCCCATTTTGCCAGTTAACTGTTTCCTTGGTTTCTGATTTTTCCCCCATCGTTGAAGTCACTAACAAATTTGTATTTGTTCTGGTTATAGGGATTGATTCAGTGTGCCCAAGCTGCAAACTTAGTTGGAAATTATCCCACAATACTTTCATCCACATACAACCTGAGTTTGTTACTAGGATCAATGATGATAAAACTCTTGCAGTTGTCAGGTGCAGCCTTCTTCCTTATTTTTAAAAGTATATTTAATCTAAAA